TTTCCCATCTGAAAATGAAATTTTACTACTACCATGCAGTTATTTTGAAGTTCTAGGGAAAATTAGTCAAGGGCACGGTTTACATACAATCCATGTCCGACAAGTTGAACCCTCAGCAACATTTATTCCACCACCGATGAACTCAAATTTTAATACAGCTCACCCGAGGAACGAACCGGTAATTTTGAACTTTGACTGTTTAAATCATCAACCGAAATTAGAAATGAAAGCAGAATCTATGCTTGCTTTTACAATGGCAACAAATGAGGAATACTTGTTCCACACAGACCTCAATACTAAGACTTTGCATCTTGTTGATAAAAATGGAAAAGAACAGTTTTCAGATAAATCAGTTTATTATTGCTGGCTTAGAAGATGGACTTCATAGTCTTTATTCATTTGCTATCATAGAGACTAGAGAAAGGATCACGACGTTGAAAGAATTTGAACAAGCACCAATAATTGGTGACTGTCACGGCAGCAGTAGTGTACTAATCATGTGGGACAAAGAAGTTCTCGTCAGAGAATACAACATATCTAGTTGACTGGTAATAAGAACACATCGTTTTCCTGCAAGTTGCGAGAAAACGGAAAGAATCAGTTCGATAAACTATACTGATGATGGCTCACGTTTCGCAGTTGTTGTGTATGGTGAAGGATACATAAACTACCGTTTACAGTTACGTGATCGATGCTCCATGCAAGTTTTACAAACGTTTACGTCACAACGACAGCCTATTTATAATAGAGTACTACCAAATAACGAGTATCTCCTTACTATTGTAAATGATAACAGGATACTTTTGATTGATTCGTAACTTGAACTCAAAAAAACAATTTCTTACCATACACACGACTACACACGGACAGTTTTGATTGGTAAAAACTGTCTTGTTGTACAAGTAGACTTTTCCGGTCGCCTTAGATTTTATGAACTTTAAACTTCAATTAACATAAACTCTACTGAAAGCTATTTTATGAAAATAAAGAATTTCTAGTTTCTGATATTCAGACACAGATGTTGCTGAGTTCATGCCGAAAATGAATTAAAAAATAATTCAAAATCTCTAAAATAGGAACGTCTACTTTTTAAATATATAGATATTACTTCCATAATTATATGAGGGTGTAGCAAGATTTACAAGGATCTTCCAGCACACTCCTTTGTTTCAGCCCTCACCCTCACCCTCATACCCTCAAGGTTCGGTTTGAAACCGAATCGATGACATCACTGGTATCTAAGTTGCCGATGAGTTAGTTGATCAATGAATTCTCGACTATCTTTCAAAGCATCACTAGAGGAATATTTATTTATAATCGTCCGTATCATTGGATTCGACATGATGTATATAGTCATGTTTTCAGTAGTCATATCTTTCAGTTTAGTTAGTAGAACGGGACACAACCGAGTAAAGACAGATATGAAATAAAGTACGATAGTGAACATCGATTGCCTGCCAAGAAAAAAAACCGAAATAAACCAATTGAAGCTCATCATGAAGAATATCTAATAATATTTGAAAGAAACTCCACTGAGCAAAAATGAAATGAGTAATAATAATGATATTGATCCCGTAGATCGAACATCGATTGAAGAGAATATTCATGCCAAAAGTATTCATGTTGATCGTTGATGCATAAATCTAAGATCAGTAAGGATAAGATCTTAGTTTTGACTGAAAAGAATCGATCGCTTAGTCAATAACACTTGTAGTTGTCCCATTTTCATTTTCTCTTGCTACTATTTCATGTTCAACTAATTGTTTCAGTAATTTTCTGTTTCGTTTCAGTTCAATGGCTTGGATGAAATGGTCATCATGAATATTTCGTTTATGTAAATCACTGCCTATACCAATTAAGTATTCGATCAGACGATGTCGACAACCGTTCACTTTAAGACAAACATAAAGTAATGGATCATTACCATCTTCATCCACTCGATGAACTAGTGTTGGGTCAGCTCGGAATAATTTTTTAATCCATTTACATTCTTTTTTTTTCAATAGAATAAATAATAATGCAGCACTTCTTAACCATGGTTCAAACAAGTTCTCGTCCAGAAAATGTTGAAATATTCGTCGTCTATCTCGAATTCCAGTCATTGTGTCAATGAATTTGTGACAATGGCGTGTATCAGCAACGAAATTTAGCATGAAACTACTTTGGTAATAAACATAATGAAGAATATCAGATCGACCAGTGACAATTAAATTCGACAGTCCTTCTTGCAACATACAATTCCAATAATCATCCGATGGCCTATCTTGTCGCATCATTTCATCAAATAACATTTTCAATACTTCCATTTGACTGTACTGAATATACATTTTTTCATCAACCTCATGATTTATCGAAGTCACTACACGTAAACAATTCGAAACGCAATCTTTTGCCCATAACTTATTATTAGAAATTTGTTTTAGATACTGAATGATAAAGAGTAATAATTCCAGTACAATTTGATATTTTTGTATATTAATCGGCAGTGATCTTGAAGAACGATAGAAGTCTTGTAGTGTAAAAATTGCATGACTGAGAAAGAAATACACAGGAGAACCACCGTTACCGACATAGTCTTTATTGTTGACTAGATTTGGATTTGAAACAATCAGTGCTTTGAATAATCTGTGAAGGGAATAAAGACACAATTGGCTCGGATATCCAATAGTATAGAGATGAGCTAATAAAAGTTTATTGAGTGCTTTGGCTAGATTATATTCACCTAATTCATTATCAGTACATTCGAGACGAGCACCAGTGCCAATCACGAGATTTTCGATTTGTTGAAGACGTTCGTGATTGAGCGAATGAAATTGTAAATCATTGAAGGCTCTTTTCAATGCTGCATCTCGAAAGCGAATTTCTTCATCACTCAGATTAACACGTATCGAATGGAATTGTTCTCGACTAAATCGAAATTGATCTTTAATTTGACGAGTTATTTCTTGAATATGAAAGCTGGTTAGTTTTTCAAAACATTGGTCGATTTGACGTTCACGGTCATCATTGTCTTGTAATGAGCATAATTGTTGTGATAACGCATGAAATAATGGAGTAGTGTAATAATAATTGAAGTTACTTTGTCGAATATTGATATGTAAGAAATCTGTGAGAAGATGTAAATGTCGATCAACAAGAATTTGATTGAAACGTTGATTCAGACCAGAAAATGTACGAAAGACGGAAGTAACATTGCCAGAATATCGCATAATAATCATAAGAATTTCATCGGACAATGTTTCGAAAGCCGATGACGGCGACGCCATGTGCATATACTATTTGATAAAAAATAACATGGGCACATTTTGTTCGTTATTGCATAATGTTTGTCTTCACTCATTATTTTTTATTCGTTCTGTCGTGTATTTTATCATTCAACATAACAAAAAGCTTTATCTGATTTTAACTGACGACAGAAAGGTCTTTTCTACTTTTATATTACAAATATTTATAACGTAAAAACTGATATGATTAATAGTGATGTGGATACTATTATTATCTTGAGAATAATTTTATTTCAATTTATATTAATCTAGATTTATTTCTTACTCAATTTTGCCTTGAAGAAAAAAAAGTGTTAGGTAATATTTGATCAATGGGTCGATCATTCCCGTTCCTTTCTTTGTACGAATCTATGCTTAACAAGTTATCATCATCCATTACAAGCTATGACGAAAACATGAGTAATAAATTCAGATGGATCAAGACCAACGGTACGGCGACAATAAATTATCTCTTTTTTAATGATGAATTACCAATATGTGAGAAATACATTAACTCCACCATGGAGACCGCTGCTTGGCGGACTCTGTGTCGGTCACAAGTCCGGATAAAGGAGGAGTGTTAGACGGAAGGTGTGCAGATACCACCGTCTGTAAAAAGAACAAGACGAAAGAAATCAACCATGAACGATTTCAGAGAGAATTCATACCGGCTCGGACGACGCCCGGTAAAACAAGGTCCGCGTCCTCTGCTGAGTGACCAGGGCAGAATCGATAAATTGGCGACTGGGAAAACCTCATACACGAACTATACGACAAATACACGCAAAAACTAACTCTTGCCAAAAATTCTTTGACAGTAGGAACATGGAATGTGCAGACCCTATGGGCTGCTGGAAAATTGGAATTGTTGCGAAACGAAATGAAACGTTTCAGATATGATGTAATTGGTATTTCTGAAGTGCGATGGACAGGAAAAGGTAAAACACCACACGCAGATTTCATCTGGTCAGGAGAAGAGACTGTACATATGAGGGGTGTCGGTTTCTTATTAAGCGCACAAGCAAAAAAGGCGTTAATAGGATATAATCCAATAAGCTCACGAATAATTTCGGTACGATTAAGTACGGAAGTAATAACAAAGACAGATAAAAAGGATATAATCATTTTGACAGGAGACTGGAACGCTAAAATTGGTAGCGAAAATGCAGATTGGAAATCCGTTATGGGTAAATATGGGTATGGTGATAGAAACGAACGCGGAGAACGGCCCTAGAATTTTCAACCGTACACGATCTCTACATATGTAATACAAGGTTCCAACAGAAACCTAACAGAAAATGGACTTGGGCAGCACCACATGGCATTCACAAGAATATGATTGATCTGATTCTCATTCAAAGTAGATGGAAGACATCGGTCACCAACTGTCGAACATTTCAGAGTGCAGACATAAGCTCAGATCATTCACTAGTCTTATGTAACATCAAACTGCGACTCAAGAAAATGTACAATAAGTCGCAACAATACTACACCGCTGATGGGAACCGATTGAGAGATGAGAAAATAAGGCAATCATCCAGAAATAAACTATCTAACAACATGAAAAACATAGAGCCAACATGTAACCTGGAAGAGCATGCCAACAAAATAGCACAGGCCATTAGAGGTGCAGTAGAGACAACGATACCTGCAAAAAGAAAAACTAAAAAACCCTGGATTTCCGAAGCGAGTATAACTTGCTGACGAAAAACGTTTCCATAGAATATGCACAGCAATATAAAGACTCATGTCGGAGAGTCAAAAAATCTGCAAGACAGGATAAAGAGCATTGGATAAACGATCAATGTGAGCAAGCTGAAAAAGGCTTAAATATTGGAAATACTAGAGAAGCATACAGCCTATTAAAAACATTAAGAAGCGAATTTGTACCTCGGCTGAATGGGATACGAGATCAGCGGGGCACAATGCTACAGGCAAAGGATGACATAAAACAAAGATGGACACAGTATTGTAGCAGTCTATATAAAGATTCTGGCGGCAGAGACGCGATGGTTAAAGAACTTGAAGACATCACACCTCCCGGAAACGAAGAATCCCAGGATATCCTGAATTCAGAGGTACAAACAGCAATACGTGCACTAAAAAGAAACAAGAGTCCAGGGTCAGATGGTATAACGGCGGAAATGCTACAAGCTGGAGGCGAACAGTTAGCACGTCAAATCCACAATCTATGTAATAAAGCATGACATGAGGATATAATTCCAGAAGAATGGGGCAAATCCATCCTGGTGCCTATTCCGAAAAAAGGAAATCTCAGCAGTTGCTCGAATTACCGAACGATCTCTCTTATCAGTCATACAGGAAAAGTACTCCTAGTAGTACTACTCAGCAGATTAAAAAATCATCTAGATCCGTACCTCTCCGATGAACAGGCAGGATTTAGGAAAGACAGGAGCACCGTATATCAAATTTTGACACTCAGATTATTGGCTGAAAAAGCAAAATGACAGGGAAAGAAAATATATAATTGTTTCATTGATTTCTAAAAAGCATGCAATACGATTAAACATAAAATTATCTGAGCTATGTTAAAATCCTACGGCGTAGAAGCAAAAATGGTCACACTGCTACAAAAGATCTACGAAAAGTCACAGTCAGCTGTTCGAATTAGTAACGATTATGGCGAGTGGTTTCAAACAGACGTAGGAACTAGACAAGGCGATCCTCTGTCACCACTCCTCTTCATCGCATATCTAGAAAGAGTAATGGACCAGGTGAGACAGAACATCTGCGGGATCAACGCGAAGTGATTATAAACAACTTGAGATTTGCCGACGATATCGATCTTGTAGATGGAAATCTTAGCTCATTCCAACGCCAAATTGAGCTAATAAAGACAGTTGCTGAACAATCTGGACTGATACTGAACATAAATAAAACTAAAACTATGGTATTTGGAGACAGGAATATTGAAAGTAGCATCCAAGTAGCAGCCAGTACGAGAGAAAACGTAGAGAAATTTGAATACCTTGGTAGCTTACTCACGTGGGATAATAACTGCTCAGAGGAAATCAAAAGGAGAATAGGAAAAGCTACAGGTGCATTAGCTTCATTGAAACATATTTGGAAAAGTAAAAAACTGAAGACAGAAAACAAACTGAAAATCTTAACAACATGCGTCTTCTGCGTCCTATTATACGCGTCAGAGACATGGGAGCGCTGTCCAAGCCTGAAAGTTATTCCGCGAGTTAAATCATCTTATGCGGGGTCTCATCCTCACGATGCGAAACGCCATTTCGCTACGGTGCTTGTAATGCAGTTTCATATCCTGATCTTCTGCTTTCTATCAGCTAGCTATTCACCTATTCGTCTCCATATCCTTTGACTATATCATATTCTAATCGTATGACTTTCTGAGTTTGTGACTTTTTGATCTTCTGACTTTCTGAGTTTGTGACTTTCTGATCTTCTGCCTTTCTGATTTTCTGACTTTCTGACAATTTTATTTGTTCTTTCCCCCTCAATAAAAAAATATACGGCCGAAAAACACTAGTCGAAACGAAACTAATGGACATATACATACGCCATAAAATCATACAGTGAAAGAACACAAACAAAAATCATAATTTATCGATCATGTGCTACGCGCACGAGCCTTTAATAATAAGTTAGATGATACCTTCACGTACACATAATCAGAAAGTCAGAAAGTCATAAGATCAGAAAATTACGCAACTCACTATGTATCCGCTGAACCTTCGAATATACTTCTAACAGTAAAATCACTCGCCGAATAAAGTCTGCACTTGGCCATCTATGAGACATGGACCTTAAAAGAAGCAGACAGGAAAAAAATATTGGCATTTGAAATGAAATGTTACCGACGAATTCTAAGAATAAATTGGCAAGGCGTTCCTGTAAAGTAACAGTAACTTCTGTACTTTTAAGTTTATTAACGGATTGTGCATCGACCACGAATTCGTTTGTTTACTCGTTGGTAATCAAAGTAATTAAGATGTCCTTCCTTACTTTATCCTGAAGCGCATGTAGTTAAAGTTCTGAAGGTTGGCAAAAATAAGTTGAGAAACAGATCAATCTCTCTTTTGAAGAAAAGACAAACTAATCTGCTACTCTCAACTTTTACTTTTCAGCAATCGATTGTATGTCAAATTTCAGACATTTTCTGTATAGTGCTTTGAGAAAATTTTCAGATAAATGCAGAATTTTTGATTTTGCCGACGCGTTTCGTGTTATTTATTAAAATATAAACACTCATCAGGACACTCTGTACAAAAAAGGAACAGGATGAAGATGATAACACACCAGAGACAAATTAGGGAAGAATTAAAGGAAATAATTAAAGAAAAATTCTAATTTAAATGAAAGCCAGAGTTAACGAATTACAAAATTGATCTGTATTGTGGATTGGTTGCTTATCATCCTTTGGAAATGTAGGAAGAAAATCAAATGATTGTGATGAACAATTAAAATCATATGTATGAATTAGCTCTATTGGTATTGTTCCTCTGAAGAGAATGTTGGAATTGGTATTGGAAGGTGAGTCAAAGCAAGTCATGACGCGTTTCGATCTTGCTTAAACGAGTAATCGAATGGATTCGATCCTTGAAGTTATGTTAGCGTGACGCTGTAGAATGCGATTCCATAGAAACTAGCCCATTGTATTGAATTCGAGTCTCGACTGACGCTTTTGGAATGGTTGTTATAGGATATAGCAGAGCCGACGATCAAGAGATACACTGTCAGGAATTGTCATCAAAGTCTTGAGTAAACTTGAACATTTTCGAATATATGTTGCAAAATTCTACTGTATACACATAAACATTGAATTTCTTGGCTGATAGTATTGCTTTTCTGGTGCACTTCTGGTTATTGTTCTCTACAGAAGTGTCTAGAAAAATTTCTTTTGCAATAATACTACCGGTATCCTAATTTCATAAATACCAACCTTTTTTATAGTTTTGCATCCGACAATGATTAATTTTCAGAATATGTTCTTTTTCCAGTTCACATAAGATGTAATTATGTCTGAATAAACAATACGTTCACTTCGAGCTTACTTTTGCTTCAACCGTTCGCCATTCAATTAAAATTACATGAAGGTATTCCTACTTACACAACATCAACGTTACTAGACATCCATTCCACATCTAGGTAAAAATTTTCATTGTGAAAAAACTACATTGACTATATAAGCAACAGTAGTCTGTTGAAACGTCCGTGTTGCTACTGTGAAACTTGGGAACGCATACTATAAAATACTATCGCGATAATTACACAATCTTCAGCCATTAGCAATCCTTCTGGTAAGTATTGTATTTGCGTACTTTCTGTCTAATGTACTATTTACACTTATTATCTTCAAATTTAGTTGATACTAATGAAAACTAATTATTTGATTTTAAATATGTATAAACTAATAGATAAAATTCTAAGCATCATATGACGTTTGCCAGTAGTAAATCTACAAAGAGAAACTTTTATGAAATCCTGATAGTATTCTATTAATTTTGCGTGGAAGGGATGTACATTTATCATTTAATCTCATGCTAGATCTGATGGATTCTCATAGAATCTAGAGGTCGAGTTGAGTGATTAAAGAACTAGCAAACGAAATAAATAAACAAATACATCTATGTATATAGTGGTTTACTTCTGTTGCGGAAATCAATGTGTAAAAATTATTATGTACGGTATTGTTGAACTGTTCATTTAGAATGGCAATAAGATCTATTATAAACATTCTAGTATACTATTTTAATTTTCAAAAAAAGAGTATCAAATTGCAATGGAAACATCAATATTAACAAGTTTAATGCATAGAAACATTAGCACTTTTACTAAAATATTAAATTAATAGACTGTTATATAGAAAAATGATAAACTTTTTCAATGTAATCATAGATTAGGACACTCTAACGTTAAAAATAAAGAACAATATACTCTGTTGCCCATAGAATAATATACGCTCACCTTCAAAAGTATGAAATCCTTCTTTTTAAATCTTGCCGCTGTAAATCTTTATTATTTTGTTATGTTCTTACTTTTAATAAACCTTTGAATGTTTATGACATCCTGAAAAGTCTTTACAGACTTTATGAAAATTTGTATATAAGCCAAATGTTCATCATTCTTTCTCTCCTCGCTTCTGTATAGTACAGGTTGATGCTTTGGATGAGAATAAACCAAAATTAGCAACACAGCAACTCTCATAATCTTCATATCTCTGTTAAAAATTAGTTGAATAACAAATTTTAGGATATTTTTCTAAGCTAATGGCTCCACTATTACGAAACAAAATATTAATTGAAAAATTGCGACTATGAAAGAGTTTCTAGCCATTTAAGTATTCTTGGTAAAGTTACAGAAGGCAACATTGCACTGGAGCCAATAGTTGTACTTGCTAAAGGAATGTCTGTCAATTGTTCTTCTAGAAGTATATAAAATATCCTGTATCCCTGAACCAAAAACTAGCCTGATTGATTCAGATAGAGTTTCTACACAAAATTTTTCAGTGTATAATTACTTGTAGAACATCACCTATAAGTTTTTGACCATAAATGAAAAACTATAGAACTGACGATCTCTTAACGAGCTGAACATTTTTAGTAATGCGTATCATATGAGAAAATGTATAAAAGCTTATATAATTTCGATTCTACTTTTTGAACACCAAATCGTATTAGATCATCGACTGACTCCAGTCGAGAATGAACAATTATATATTCCCACTCTAATAGGAATCATAGAACGGTACGACCACTGGTGTTGAACTGAGCTGGTGAACACGAATCGTTGCTGTACTCCTAAGTCTCATTTGTTGATCCACAGTATGTAAAACATATCTGATTCATGCTCATCTGTCATGACGATCTCTGATTAGCTTTTGCTGTCGTATTGTCGTTGACATCGACATAAATATGGAGTGTGATGTGAATCGAGAATGTGGTCGTTGTCGAGTCCCTGCTGCAGTCGAATAGGAAATACAACTGGACACAGGATAATACGGCCACTAGCCAGCTGATTTGAGATTCTCTGAAGGATTAACAAAGGTAGGCTTAAAGAGGCCTCCTAGAAAGATCAATTTTTTCTGACAAAAACTCGATCTGAGATTTTCTTCTGGAAACATGAGTCAAAATGTCCTCTTGCAGAGTATAAAAATTATTTCGAGGGAAAAATTGCTCGGCGCCTGAGTGACACTTCGTCTAGTTGTCTTGTGAGTAGTGACGGCGTTAATAATTATGAGAAAATTGCCTTTTCACTTCAAGTCTTTGAAGACATGTGGAAAAACGGTTTTTAGAATTCTTTATCGTTTTCTCAAAAATGTGGTTTCTAATCTATTCGTGGCGTGGTCTAAGTACTTACAGGTAGCGCTTTAATATATGTTAACTTTGTTATAGTTCGTTTCAAACTCTATCTGTAAGACAGTTCTATCTTGTACTGAACTGACTAGCGCCATTGCACTAGTACCTATCATCTTTAAGTGTGTATACATATGCTCTCTTTTACACTCTGACAGTACATTGTCACCCTTTCTCCTCCTTTCATTCTCTTCCATATGAAAGACACTGCTCGTTGGGAAGGAAACGATTCCTTTTTTCGAATACACGTGGTCATTTTTACAAAAAGCCAATCACTTTTAGTTATTATATACCGCTTTCTTCATAAGTAATCAAGCATTCATGTCATCTGCACGAAATCTGCCTTTCACATGGTGATGTATACACACTATGAAAACGATATGAATCAGTGGCCTATCCAGGATTTTTCAACATATCTCGATCATTCTCAGCGTTCAAACCCTCACTCACCATTGCATTGAGTTTAGGTCAGGTTAGAGAATGGGAAGGATATGTATGCGGAGGAGACAACGGCAACCACTGTTCACTCCCACTGGTGAGAAAGTAGCTCTTTTGATCAAGCCAAATAAGCAGTATTGAATCTTTCAGTGATAGAATGTCTTTTGAGTTACCTTGTAACGTCCCTATTTGGCAAATTATATCTGTTAAAAACTGTGGGTGAGGGTACCTTCATCTCAGGAAATACGTGGACAATAACAAACAATATACAGTGGAGCACTGCCAGCCATCTCTGCCGGCGATGGAAATTCCGTAACGCATTTTTTGCTTTTCATCTTGCCGATAACTCTAGAAGGGTGAAGGTAGTAGTATATTCCTCGCTATACCTGGCTCTGAGAACATTTACATCTCTTGAATTGCAAGCACCAGCAAAATATCACCGTTGAAAACATGAAAAATTCGACATTCTCAAAACTATCATCTTTCTGGCGGTTACAATTTAAGAGACGTAAATGTTCTCAAAGTCAGGCATAGCGAGGAATATACTACTAGCTACACTCTTCTTTAGAGAAAGTCTTGCGATTCGCAAACGAATCTCTATTCGCTAGAGGCGGAGGAGCGCTGATCGATTATCGAGAGATGTAGATTTGACTCCTACTTTGATTTTACAATCTTCCTTCACAAGCCTTTCGTGTTTGTGAATGCATATTCACGTGGTTGCATTTACTTCAAGTTCTGAATGAACTCGCGGGCAGACAACATGATGACATGCTTCTGAACTCTTGCATCTTTGTGGAGAACTCGCTCACACCCCCACCCGCACCCCTTAAGATAGTAATTTTTCTTTTGGTTGTGCTTAAAAAACTATAAGATAAATAAAAGACTGTATAATTCTTCTGTTAGGACGTCTTGTATGAGACGAGAAAAAGTAAAGAAAAAACCATCACATTAAGCAAACAAGCAAAAGCAAAAAGTACGCAGACAAACATTTTCATTTGATCAACGTTTTTAGGAGAAGTTAATCAAACATACTCCATCATTTTCAATATAGGGATAAGAAATATGAGAAGATGAGTTGCGTAAAATACTCGTTCGAGAGAACCTTGCCAGATAGTAAGGCTGCGAACTCAAGTACCACATACCAATTGGTCTCCAACAATCGACAAGTCAATCTTGAATCATATCAACTAGTATGGATCGATCCGGATTTTAGTCGACAAGATACCATTCGTACAGATTTTCTACGAAAAATTGTTGATTATACAAAAATATTTGACAACGATGAAGATGCTCAAAAATATCTCGAACAAACACATAATACGATCACATTTTTAGTGTTTAGAGAAAAACTAGCACAAGAATTTCTTCCTCGAATAGATTGTCTTAAACATATCCCAAAAATCTATATCATATCTGAATTAGACAGTCATTCAAAATGCTTCTCAAACTATTCAAAAGTATGACCTAATCATATGACTTTTTTTCAAACAAGACTTATTTAAACAGTAGTGCTTCTGTCTTCTTCTATTTTTCATATAGGTTGTCGAAAATTACAAAGAGATTTCTATTCTATTGAATGATTTGTCCACGGACGTCAATGAATATCAGAAACAGGAAAGACAAGTTAACTTTAATGAATTCGACAAGACTGAAGCATCAACAGACATTTATAATAATAGTTGGTGGTACGGATTTATTCGTCTAATAGTGTCATTGCCGTATCCGACAGATTCCTGCCGTAGACTTGTTGAATTCTTGAAAATTTATTACGAAGAAAAGACATCCGAACTTCGTATACTATCTGAATTCGAAACAACGTATAGATCAAATCAAGCTGTATGGTGGTATACACGTCCGACATTTTTGTACAATCTATTAAATCAAAGTCTTCGTCAACATAATATTCACATGACATTTCTTTTCGGTTTTTTTATTCAAGATCTATCTCGTCAGTTGAAAAAGGAATTCGATGCATATAAATCAGCAACACTTATCGAGCATCATCCAATTACACACTCATATCGTGGACAAATAATGCATATTGATGAAGTAAAAAAACTCCGACCTACCGTGTAATCTTGGTTCGTATCCTGTTCCTCATTGTCAGAAAAATGCAAAAAATTGAGAAGTAATTCGAATTTGTCTCTCGACATTGTATTTTGAATGATTTCCAATCCATATAATTGACTTTTGCTTCAGTAGTAGTCTGCTTTTGGCATTTGCACTAAGCCCATCTCGATGACTATCCCCAACAATTTGACTGGAAATCATTCAAAATACAATGTCGAGAGACAAATTCGAATTACTTCTCAATTTTTTGCATTTTTCTGACAATGAGGAACAGGATACGAACCAAGATAAACTAGCTAAGCTGAATCCACTTTTGATCCTATTGAAAGCTAGATTTAAGTTGATTTATACGCCCGGTTCTATCACCACCGTCCATGAAACAACGGTGCCCTGGTGAGGTCGACTCTCCTTTAGACAATACGTTCCAGGCAAAGCCCACAATATGGGGTTAAAATGTATAAAGTAGCAGACATAAATGGATATACTTGGAATTTTATAATTTATATAGGAAAACAGAATCCAACTAGAATAGCTGTACATTATGTTGAGAATGGGCATCGAACTAGTTGGTGTCCTGAAATTCTTGTTCATGAATCTCATACAGTCAAAGGAATGATTAAAGGAAGCTTGCTGATGGATATTCACCAAAAGAAAACGAGAAGGATCATCTTTGTTTCTAATTGGTAGAGTTTTCATTAGGTTAATAGTATAAGTAAAGCAGCGGCTTTTAATCATTTTTAATTTCCAACGTTTCGATTTATTTATAAACCATTGTCAAGGATGTACAGAAAACAAAAGATTTTCTTTTAAACTGAATGGTATAATTTATATCTATATACTGTACGGTTTTCTCTCTTCAAGTATTTTTCTTTTTACTATCTAACCTTTCTTTTCTAGAC